CAGCGGCCTGGCCGGGGGGCTGCTGGCGGTTGTCCTTTAATCCTCCCGGGTTCTGCCCTCGCCCTCCGCCGAGGGGCTCTCGTTGCTTGACGTGCTGCTGCCTGGTCCTCACCTCTTCGCTAGGCAGGGTCGCCGCGTTTGGCCTCTCTTCAGGACCCGGAGGGTTTTGGTTTTGGTTTGTCCCTGGTTTATGCCAAGGTCACCAGAGAAACATAAAAGGGCCCCAGGAGTTGACCTTTCTCCCAGCCCAGCGGTTCTCCTTTTGCCATGTCGTTGTCATGTCTCGTGACAAGTGCGAGGTGCTAAAATGGGGAAGGGTGACCAGAGCTGCGCGGTTTTCCGTGCTGGGCGTCGCGGCCGCCCTGTCCTCGCGCAGCGTGCGCTTCTCCCAGTACCCGCCGTAGGGACAGTGAAAGCACGTGTGTTGGCACAGTAGGAGTTAATGGTAGAGAGGTTCAGTCCTGGCAACGCCGTGACCGTGTGGGTTTTTCAGCCTTTTTATTTTTCAGTGCAGGGGCCTTTTGCATAGTGAGGCAGGGAAATGTACCAGGGACATCTTGGCTTCTGTTTTTAATCGATAAAGGTTAGGTGGATCTTTGAATGTCAGTGCGTTACTACTGGCTTTCCCTTCCTCTCCCCACCTTGGCCTTGCCTGGATGCGTGGGAGGGCGCATGACTCTTTGCAGTGGCCTGGGGGGCTTGATTTGAGAAGTGACAGCTTTACATTGCAAAGCCCTAAATCTATGACCTTTATGTGAATTCACATCCATAATGAAGCTATAGAGTGTGCTTGCTTTGAGCTCCAGAAAAATGGAAATTTGACGATTTTATCTAAGATACCACCCTGTGTACTTACAGCAGCTGATCATAACAGTCATGGGTTCAGTGGTAAAGCCCAAGTACTGAATAAGACTACTTCTGTTTTTTCTCTTCTAGAAGTGGTGCCAAGTTGATAGCACCACTGGGGTGCTTGGTCTCTAGGCAAAAGCACACTCTTCCCGACTTGCCGTATGACTATGGCGCTCTGGAACCTCATATTAGCGCAGAGATCATGCAGCTGCACCACAGCAAACATCATGCCACCTACGTGAACAACCTAAATGTTGCGGAGGAGAAATACAAAGAGGCACTGGCAAAAGGTTTGTATATCCACAGTCAACAGATGAGATGGAAGCTAGTTGACACAGATGATACAGGAGAAAAAAAAATGGATACCCCTTCTTTCCAGGGGAAATAGTTTCTTTTAAAAGTTTTGGATTATCTAGTTCAAGGTCGTTTGTGGTTTTGTTTTTTTTTTTTAAATAAGGTGAAATGCTTTCAGGAGCAAGCTTTCATTGTAAGCTTCAGTGATGCTGATAATTGGAAACTAGGTGTAACTAAAAAGCATGAATTCTGTTCTCTGTAGTACTGTAAAACTAGAAGAAAATTCATTGATTGTTGTGGATTTAGTCTATGTTTACATTAGTAACTTGAACCAAAGACTGAGTCGATAGGAAATTGCAGTCATTTTACTAAATAAATACTTTGTAATGAAAAGTTAGTAACAAACTTCTGCGAAGTAAAATTTGTGCACCTTGATTGTTTTCACATCAGATGTTCTGCTGACTCTTGTGAAATAATCTTAGTCACCTACAAATGGAGGTAAGACAAATGTGCAGTTAATGTATACGACATGCAGCGAAGAGATCTGAATTTGGGTGTCAGTAATGCCAGTGGGTCAGATTAGGGAGACACGTAGCTCAAATGCCAGTGTGAGACACCAAAATATACAGCGAGCCATCATGGAATTTTTTGTTAAGATCTCAAATTGAATCTTGAGATATGCTGACTTCTATGAACACTTTACAGTTCTATCTGGGCAACACTGAAACACATGAAATGCTTTTTTCAAAATCTTCTTTAAGTCTTTCAGTTGGACCGATGGAAATGGGTGAAATAATGTGTATATCTTTTTAAGAAGGAATATTTTCTGTGTTTTTTTTCTGTTGTGATGGTCTTTCTAAAGAGTATCAGTTTACCTCTAAGAGGTGATTATTTTATAGGCTCACTTCTGTCTGGTTGCCAGGTGGGTTCATGGTGCAATTTAACTGCTTTGGCTTGGATGAAAGTGAGAATTGTCAATATCTGAGTAAACTTCAGCCCTGTAGCCCTTGATAAATGCTAGTGTGCTTGAATAGAGAAAGTTGGATACTTACGAAAGTTTACAGATTTTGAAGTGCCTAAGTAAGCCTAAAAATAATTTGTGCAGTTTAAATTAATGAACTAATGAGATTCAATTAAGAATCAGGCAATCAAGATTGGCTGCTGCTTTGTCCTGCCAGTGGTGGGTCCAGGAAAGTTGTGTTCTGGAGATTTAATTAGTGCACACAGAATTGAGGAGGGAACCTGAACTATGAGAAATCAGTGGATCTGCTACTGATGTTACTTGTACTGTTTAAGGATCAAGCCTTCAGCCACTAGTGGAGGCAGAATTTGTGGTTAGCAGAAACATCTGCAGTGTTGTGGATCCTTTGAGGTGGTTTTTAAAAATACTATCCTTTGATAGGCTTTCATCGCTTGCTGTTGGAAATGGTGAATCTAGAGGTAGAGGTTAATCTTTCC